ACTGAAGAAACTGAATGCATAAAAATGCAAGATATATGGACCCTATCCAGTTAGATTATCACAGTGGAACTGGTATTGCTGTCCAGCTTGTGCATGTTAGCTGACACTTCTGGAAGAGGAAAGCTGTTTGCTAACAGCTCTGAAGGAACAGGGATCACATCTGTTAACCTTTTATGCATTACTATAATCTAGTGGTAGTCCTGATTTCATAGGAGACAGGAAGTGACTTTTGGGATTTTTTTACAACACTCTTTAGGCAAGGAAGCATTTGAACAGGAAGTTTTGATCTTAGACCTTAAGACCTCAATTTTGCCTTCAGTATTCCCACACTGAAATCAAAACCTATAAATTATATTCATGGAAGATATAAAGTAAATCTGTACCATAAACAAATTTCCTAGGTTTTGTTCTGTTGAGATATTTTATTTGTATCCTTCGGAAACATGAATTTGAAAAACATCTCAGTAATTCGGTAACTAGCAAGCTCCTCTGTCTTTTGGGTTTGAATTTTGCGAATGAGTTTTTGGTCTTAAATGGTTAAATCCTAAGGAAAGTGTGAATGGTTTGAGTTCTCCCTTATTCAACTGTGATGAATAAAAGGTTTTTCTCCATTTATAGGTGGTAATGTTGAAATTCAGTTGTCCTTTGTGTTTCTCTAGCATGCTGTGCTTTGTAATCTTTTAAATAAATAACTGAAGTAAATTAAGGGGATATATTGTAAAAAATGGGAGGTTGCACGATCTGTGTGAGCAACAGTTTTCTGCAAAACAGACTAAGGAGGTCACACTGTGGTGTACAGACAAGCACAGTTACCTTAAACAAAACAAAAAAAACCCCAACAAACCAGATGCTATGCTGGCTTTCTGCTTCTGCAGTATACATGAGCAACTTTTGTGCCTGTACTCTTTTGGGTGGATGAACTTTCTCTTTTGCTCTATTTATTTAATAAAGACTTGTGTTAACACCAACTCTAACTTGTGTTACTTTTCTCAAAGCATTTGTCAGATGCAGACCATACAGTATCCCTGGGTCTTTGTCACCATAATCTCAGCTGTGGTCTGCAATGTGTTTAAAGGCAGCATTGTTCTCCTGCTCTCTGTCCTCACCTTGGAGAGGAGTTCCTGTTCCTGCTCCTGCCCTTCACATTGTAGAATCCTCGCCTCGTTCCTTGTTTTGCTACTGCATCATGGGCTTCTTGAAGCTCTTGTTTCCCACTGACATCTTCCCCAGTGCTTAACGCAGAAGATATTTTCTTTCTCCAGGTCTTTCCACATCTATAGCACACTATAAATGGGTGCAGGAGTGTTTTGATTTTTCTGCATTCAACTGTTTAAAATAGTGCGCCATGAACAGGCCATGGATGGAAGTATAACTGAGACCCAGATTGCCCGGCGGGTGGCAGCATTCCTGGGTATCACTCCGGGTGTATTTGCGCTGTTTCTGGTGACCTGCACTGAAAATGTTACTTGCGACTTGTTACTTTTGGGGAGTGAGCGCTAGCTCTTAAAGCTTAGGAGGTTCTGCGTTGAGCTAGTGGAAGCTGGAGAGACGCCTGCGTTGGTAATGGCAAAATCAGTGCAGCAGCTTCAGCTGGCCGCAGTCGTGGGTTTGCTGCTGGGGTGCTGTCCGTGCCGTGCGACAGCGAGGAGGCCGTGGTCGGGAGGTCAGAGTCCCACAGCGAGTCCACCACAGCCTTCTGTCCCGAGGGCAAGCGGCAGAGAAGAGACAGGCATTTCGTTGGCTAAGATGTTGTTTTGGAGACGGTGGTCCCCTAAGTGCCCAGACGACCTCCCCGGGACGGGCGTGGCCGGGCGCCCGGGAGGCGGGAGGTGACAGCTTTAGCGGCCACCGCGCCGCTCAAATAGCCAGCGCCGCCACCGGAGCGGAGCTGGCACGGCCGCCCGCCCTATGGTGACGGCAGCGAGCGGGCAGCGCGGTGGCACTCCGGAGTGTCGGAGACCCGCTGGCTCCCCTGGGGGATGCCCACGGCGCCCGGCACGGCGGCGGCGCCCGGGAACGGCGGCGGGGGAGAGCGCACAGGAGCTGCAGGCTTTCCGCGACTACGGGGAGAGCTGGTACCGCTCCCACAAGGGGCTGGAGAGCCGCTTCCAGCCGCGGGAGCCTCTCGCCCGGCAGCCACAGGTGGGGTCAGCCGGGCCGGCGACGGGGAACGGGCGGAGGAGCCCGGGGTTGGCCCCGCCTGATCCTCGCTGCCGGTGCCGTAGGTGACGGCAGAGGCGCGCTGCAAGCTGATCAGCTGGCTCATCCCCGTGCACCGGCATTTCGGGCTGTCTTTGGAGGCACTCTGCCTGGCCGTCAACATCCTCGACCGCTTTCTCGCCACCACCCCTGTGGCCGCCGACTGCTTCCAGCTCCTGGGGGTAACGGCGTTGCTCATCGCTTGCAAACAGGTAGGGCGGCCCCGGGCCCCGGCTGCTCCGCCGCCAGTCTCTGCAGCCCGCCGAGGCCAGCCTGAGGGGCCCACTGCTCAGACAGGCCGGGCTCCCCTGCGCTGCTTCCCGGCGGCAGCGTCCCCACTCTTGTCCCCACTTGCAGGTGGAGGTGCACCCTCCTAGCGTGAAAGAGCTCCTTGCCCTCTGCTGTGACGCCTTCACCCGCCAGCAGCTCCGCAACCTGGAGTGCATCGTCCTGCATCGCCTGGACTTCGACCTGGCGGCGCCCACCGTCAGCTTCTTCCTGGAGCACTTCAGCCAGCTGCGGCTGGAGACTCGAGGGGCCGACGCAGGGGAGGCGGCTGACGCCCGGAGCCTGGCGGCGGGAGTCGCGGAGCTCAGCCTGGCTGACTATGCCTTCACCAAATACGCGCCCTCTCTGCTGGCCGCCAGCAGCCTGGGGCTGGCGGACCGGCTCCTGCGCCACCGCAGCCCCCTGGACCTGCGAGTCAGCGGCTACCCGGAGGAGCTCCTGCGGGACTGCATGGACCAGCTTCAGCTCCTGGTGTCTCTGAACGGGCGGTCCCTGTCTCTCCTCTTGCCCTCGGAGGTGTTCCAGAAGTGCCCCTGGCTCGGGGGTGGCCGCTGACAGCGGGTGGTGGTGGTGACGGCTCTGGCTCGGCGCTTGTGCTCCACAGAGTCGGTGCAGTCTGATCCACTAAGCCCTAGTGTCATTGGAGCTTAAAAATTAGATGGCGTTTTACAAACGATTTTATGTGTAATTTCATCTGCACTGTCCTTTTGCTATATTTTTTTAAGTCCAGCGTGTAAATAATTTACTGAATCTCACCTACTGTGTTATTTAATTGGAGGGTGGTCCATAAAGATAACGGTGTAAGGACCAGCTGAATCTTGAGTAAACTCTTTTCTACTTGTTACCTCTGTTCACTTATTTGCTGGCAGTATGCGGACACAGCTGGGAGAGGAAACACATTGGCACTGTAACACCCAGTTAACTCAATCCCCCCACAAAATAAAGATGTCCAATAGTGTTACTCCCTGTGTTGCCTATATAACTTGGGTCAAAGTTACAAGATGCTTATACATCTTGAGTTATAAGACACCAATATAACCCAAATCATAACTTTCTATACAATGTAATAGCTAGTATATGATTAACCAGCTGCTTGATGCTTAAATAAATGGAAACTCACCAGGTGAATAGTTTCAAAAATAGACAAGTATAGTTTCAAAACTAGGTAAGTATAGCTATATTGGGAAGCAGCAGGATATACTAATGAGAAACTGGCAAATGTAAATCAAGTTAGCCACAAAATGAAGAATTTAGACTGGTTAGATCCAGAAAGACCAAGGAACACCATAACTGTCCATGTTTCAAAGACAAAGTTGGGAAGCTCAGATGCAAGGAAGACCTTGAGCCTTCATTGAAGAAGACCCCCAACACCACCTAAATTGGGGAAGCACAAGCACAGTACAGAATAATTTAAAACCATGAGATAACATTAGGTAAATCAGTTCCAGTGCACGTGATGATGTTATAATGACGTGGCAATATTAAGCAATACTTGCTGTAAAAATAAACCACAGCACTTGACAAGGGTGAGTTAGGTGGAGAAATCCCCCTCACCTCCACTGCTGCAATAAACAAATACCTGCTCTATAGACACCAGTCTATGGGGTTTATTTCTGGCCATTGGACATCACCTGTTTTAAACTGCATCCGCTGTCTTGGGCATGGCTCGGGGGAAAAAAATAAATTAGATGCACTGACATAAGTGTAGGAAAACAGATCGGAATACTAATAACAGCTGGGTTTGTTTGTTTCGTTTTCTAGCAGGTCTATAATCCAGATGCACGCTCCTGAGCAGGTTGGCACGTTCAAGGGCAGAAAACAGTCATAGTGTTGTAAAATACTTCATTTTCTTCATGTGTACCTGTGCACAAAAGTGGTGTTAAAAGACCTCACAAACACCTAGGGCTGCCCTAGGGGGTGCTCACCTTTTTGCGCAGGAGGGACCCGGACGCCGGGCGGCGCTCCAAGTCCTGCCTGCAGTCAGGTGTGGAGGCAAAACGAGCAAACCCTGTCCACGCTGCTATTACAGAAACTGCCTAAAAGACCACCACGGGGGAATAAGGAGCAGCTCCGTCAGTGATTTCAGCTGGACTTGCCGTACAGTGGGTGGGACCCTCTCCCGGTGCGCGGATCGGTACATTCAAGATGCCATGGACGGCCTTTTTCCTCCTACACAACACACTCCCGTCCCCAGTCCCCCGTGTCTCTCAAGGCGGACGGCCCCTACCCCTGTAAAGACATGTAACAAACATCATTATAAAAACCAGCCCAGCCCCCAAGCTGGAGCCCGCACTGTCCGGCAGAGACCCGCGGGGTGAGCGCGGCACCGAGGTGCTGGGGGGACGGACTGCAGTGGTCCTCAAGCTTCCCTCCCGGGCAGCCCCCTCGACCCGCCCAGGCTCCGCGGGCGCGGGCGCGGGTTCCGCGGGCGCGGGAGCTGGCGGCGCGGCCAGGGGCGGCGGCGGGAGGTTTCGGCGCCCCGGAGGAATGAAGGCGGGCGGGCAGCCCCCGCCATGGCCGCGGCCCCCGCGCCCCTGCTCGCGGGGCGGCGCCGAGCGGGACGCCAGGCGGAGGGCGCCCGCCGACACCGGGGCCACGGGACCAGCATGGAGCAGGGTGGCCGCCGCCGAGCCTTCGGCAGCATCTGCCCCAACACGGTCCAGGGCCCGCCAGCCCGCCTAGCCAAGAAGCCGGCCCGGCCCGGCGGGGGCACGGCGTGGACGCCCCCGGCCGCCCTGAGCCCCCGAGCTCCCCCGCCCCGTCCGCGCCTCAGCGGCGCCTCGCCGGCCCCCGCCGCGCCCGCCCTCGGTGAGTCAGCCTGCGGCGGACAGTCTTAACCCCCAGGGGTGTACCTTTCCCCGTTGCTCCTTCTGCGCCCCTCTGGTGTCCCCGACCGTGCTCCCCAGCCCGGCATCCCCCGGCCCTGACACCCTCACCGTGTTCTCCCGGCCATGACCCCTCTCCATGACGATGTATGTTCCCTGGTGCCTTCGCACCCTGTTTCCCAGCCCTCCGTTCCCTTGCCGTGCACATTGGAGATGCCCCCCAGCCGTGTTCCTCATTTTGCCATGCCCCCCTGGCTATGTCCTCCCCTGCCTGCACTACTCACCTCTTTCTCTGTCTGTTCCCAGTGCTCAGCACCATCAACTGGCAGGATTTGGCAGCCTCTGCCCCCATCCTTCCCATCACCCCAGCTGGCCCTGTGACCCTGCAGCAGGTAAACCTACACTTCAGAATAGTCTAAGCTGTACTTGCCACCTGGAGGGGTAGCTCTCTCAAGCAGATGGGTGCTGGTAACTCCCCTAGCCTTAGGTTTCCCACCTGGGAAATGGGCACAGCAGAGGACAGCATCTTGTCCCACCTGTCAAACGGGTTAGTGGTAAGTGTCAAGGGGATGGATCCTGGGGCTGCTGGAACTGTGATAAGGTTCTGAGCACAGGCATCAGATGCTGTTGAAACAGTATGGGCAGTGGTGTGGGCAGGTCTGTGCCCTGGTCCCTGCTCACTGGATCATTTCCTTCACCCCTGCCAGGGTCCCTGCTTCCAGGATGGGCCGGAGTTTGATTTCCAGGAATTCAGAGATACTGTCAGTGATTTCAGATCTGGCAAGTAGATATTTTTCCTTACCTGAGCCAAACGTACCTGCATGTTCACATCTGCAGTCATGCTGCATTGTCTCATCTTTTTTTCTTTGCTTTTGGAATTTTGGGTGCCCACTCACCGCATTTTTGTCCCACCATGGGGAGACAGTCTGTGAGGTAGTGCATTCCTGCTCACTCTCTCAGAGACCTAAGCTGTCACTGAGCTCTCTGCCACAGGAGACAAATTAACTCCATACAGCTTTAGGGTGCACAGCTGTCACAATAGAGTAAAAGCTTTTCAGGACATACCAGAAGGATGGTACCAGAACCAGAATGATGTGCTGGGGCTGGGTGGAACTGACATGCATACCTCCACTTAACACTTGTAGCTGTTCCTTACAGATGTATCCACCTTGATGCCACCACCACTGGACTGTACTGATTATGATTTCTCACTTGGTGAGGAGGTGGCTTTTGGCCCCAGCACCCCGCAGCTGCAGAGTAGTGTGCTGGTGCAGGTGCCCCCACAGCACCTGTCTTCTCCTGAGCCCTGCTGGAGGGACTTGGCAGACCAGCGCCAGAAAGCATTGGGAGACGCCCTGGAAGCAAACAGCCAGGTAGGGACCCCAAACCGCCCCCCAGCCTGTGCTGGGTTTGTTCTGTTGCATCCTGCTAAGGCAACTGCAGGGGCCTGGTGTGCAGCATCCCCTGGCCCCTGGACGGTGGGGCTTGTCTCAACTACCCCTTTCCCCATTTGTCCTTCGCAGCTGCAGGAGACCCTCACACAGAGGCAGGAAGAGCTGGTGACACTGCGAGAGAGCAACGTGCAGCTGAAGGAGCTGGCAAGTCAGGCCAGGCAGCTGGCAGCTGTCCTTGACGTGAGTGCTGTTCACCATCTGGCCTGGCTGCCCCAGGGACCAGCTGGGCCATGGGGGACAGTGTGATTCTGGGTACAGGGGGGAATACGATGCAGGGTGAGGCAGCACGGGGTGGGACAGGGCCTAGGTGGGGGAGATGTGTGGTGGGGTTGTGCAGTGTGGGATTGTTGGAGTTGTGTGGTGCAGGACAGGGTGGTGTGGGGTGGACAGTGTGGGGCAGGACAACGTTGATTGGTAGGGTGTGGGGTAAAGCAGTGCTGGGTGGAGCAGGGCAGTGGAGGGGGCAGCGTGGTACGGTTCGGGGCAGGGCGGTGAGCTGTGGGATGGAGCCGTGCTGTGTAGGATGGAGCAGTGGAGCACAGAGTGGTGTGGGACAGGACGGGGCTGTGCGGCACACATCGCGGAAATCGCTCTCCCTCTCGCCGGCAGACGCTGATGCTCCCGCAAAGCGCCGAAGGGACAGCCCTTCCTCCTCCTCCTCCTCTTCATCCTTTACCTTCTCCTCCCGCCGCCGCCCCGGCCGGGACCGGCCAGGAGGATGCGGAGGGCGTGGACGCCATGCTGCGGGCTGTGTCGGAGAAGTGCCGCGCCGCCCTGCGAAGCCTGGGGGGCAGCGCGGGGGACAGGCCAGGGGGCAGCCCCGGGGACACCCCGGAACACAGCCCGGGAGGCAGCCCCACAGCCAAGCGCCCGCGGCCGGGCCCGCGGCTGCACGGCGCCTTCCGCGGGCTGCGCACCGGCCGCGCCGCCCCGCGCCCGGTCGGCAGGGAGCTGGAGGGGGGCGGCAGCCTACGGGCTGCCCTGGGGGAAGCGGGAGCCATCCGCACCCTGGCCTTCCCGCAGGGAAACGCCTTCACCCTCCGCACCGCCGCCGGCGGGCACCGCTTCCGATGGGTGCCGCGCTGAGACCCCCGCGGCTCCGCGCACCCGTGTCCCGGGCAGGGCGGAGCGGGGTCCCTGCAGCGTGAGGCTGGCAGCGCACCCCACCCGAAGACACGCTCCCCGTTTTCTCTTGGAAAAGGGGTATTCGAGCTTTCCCCCCCCGCTGCCGGAGAAGCGACGGGACGAGGGCGGCGGAGGCCACCGTGCCTCAGCGAGGGTCCTGCGCCACGGGCGCGGCCGCCGCAGGCTTCGCAAGCGCTGCCGCCGTGGCTCCCGGGCCGGCAGCTGGCCATCAGTAGCTTGCTAATGAGTGTAATGAAAGCAGAAATTAAACGAAGATCTGCCTGGTTTTATGTAGAGGTTTTTAGTCAGCAGAGGAGACAAGCGCAGCTGACAGGACAGTGGCTGGAGTCGGCCAGTATGAAAGCAAAGTGATCGTCCCAGGTGGTTAAACACAATGCAGCTGCTCCATCGTGGAATTTTACACCACAGTGTTTACAAAGTGTATTTCTATAGTTCATGTGTGCAACTGTATGTGTATTTGTACTCGTTATGATGATTAAATAGTGCTTAGAATTGCCATTTTATTTGTACAGATTTAATGTAAACTTCATTTTGCGTCAGGTATGCGTATTTACTTTCATTAGAGCAGATACAGCAGAAAGCATCTCTGAGAGTATAGAAATAGAAAGTTTTAGAATAAAACATGCTGCTTTTAACATCAAGTGGTACTAACTTAAAGAGAAATGTAAAGAGTAATGCTAAACTCTTCTGAATAGATACATTTAATTTCACCCACTAGTTTGAAAGCTGAGCCAGTAATAGTTTGAAATTGAGCCACTCATGAAACAGTACCTGATATTTTTTGTATTTCTGTGGCACACAAGTGATACACTGCTCCACCCACGGCAGGGATTTTCTCCCTGTGAAGTTATTGTTTTCTCAGCATTCAGCTTTTACAGTATCATTGCATGGGTCCATGCACATTAACAGCAGTCCAGCTGTGACAGGCCTGTATGATGCTTAAGCTGACAGCACATTATCACCTCAGTGGATTTCCTAGGGGAGTTGAAATCCTGCAAACACTGTCGTGCTTTTGGCAAGCAGAGGTATTCAGAAGAAGAGTTGCTTTTGCCAGCACAACATGTAGCTGTGTGGCTGCTAGGAGACTGCAAAAGTGGTCACTGTGTGTCTGAGGTCTCTCATGTCTGCAGCACTGACATTCTTCTAGCAGGAATGGTGCTGAAGCCCTTTCTGAGATGCTACGGGCTCATCACTGGGATGACTTCAGAGACACTTACATTTCTGCAGAAGACCTTTGCCACTTTGGCCAAAATCCTGTACAAAAGCTCTGGTTTGACAGCAGACAGAAGAGCCAAAACCTTCCTGTCTGCACTGAATTCAGCAGGGAATAAATTGATAACTAAAGATAGCTTTTATATATATGTGTTTGTGTGTGTGTATTTCCTTTCTGTGTGTTTTATGAAATTAAACACAAAATATTTGTGTACAATTATGTAATGCTCATAAGAAAATTAATTCCTCAGAAATTAAGTGACACACAGAAGTGTACACTTCTTGTAGGATGCAACAATGAAATAACCACCCTGTTGGATTATGCCTAGTGTTGATCTTTCTGCTACCTCTTTTCAAAATTACAAATTTGTTTTTACCCACTTTTTCAGTGAATCTGTTATGGCATTTCCACTGATTACGTTTACTCATAGTTTTCTATGGTAAAAGGGTCCTTGATTATTTTTGAGATGTAATATAAAAGTAGTAGAAAATGATAATAAATGTATCTTTAAATCTAATTAATTTGAAGACCTATTAATTGGAAAGGCTGGAAACTGGCTGATGAGAACAAGATGTTTCTTAGTGAGACTCACAGAAGCATCATCAGACACACAGATGCACACTGATAAAAAGTGTTTGGTACGCAACATGGTCATGGTGTTAGGCTACAAACGTACTTCTAGTATAGTAGAAATAGTAGTACACTATATACATTTCCTTTAATCTGTAAAGGTGTATTTTGAATTGATACTTATCCATCCACTTCCATACAGGAGCTGCATAAAAAATGGGCATAGCTCTTGCACAGATTAAAACAGCAAATTTAAACAGTAAATTAGAAGGACTCCTGTCAGGAGGAGTGGATGGGATCACAGGGAACAAAACCTGGTCCCTTGAAGCCTGTGTTTCATCAAAAGTTGACCCTGGAGAAGCTGGAAGTTTACCTCTAGGAAGTCTCATGTCCAATTTTTGCTTTATTTTGTGCTTTTCTATTTTATGCATTATGCTTATTTTCTGGGAGAGGATCTGTGCAGAGACCCTGGACATGCAGGTGTGATGAACTGAAGAGCATGTTGGTTTGTGGTTTATGCTTACTGTGGTTTTCTCCCTCTGGTGGTGCATTGTACATGCAATGGGTGAAGGGAGCTAGCCAAGACCCCAGCAGAAATAAAGTAAAGTAGATGCGATAATATTTCACGAGCTTTTTACCTGCTCATGTTAAGTAAGCTTTCTCCACCTTTCCCTTCCCTGCTGGTGCCAGGCCATGGGATGTGTGGCTGTGGAAGTGTGACGGTGCAGAACTGCAGACTATTGGAACATTTTGAGGTGAAAGAGAAAAATACCTTCTAATTTGGAGGGCTGGGATGAGGGTTTACTGATCATGTGTTGAAGACAAGCACACCAATTTCATAAATGCTTTGTCTTGGAATATGGGTATTTCCTTGGGTAAAATCCTTGTGTTAATGAAAAGAAAACACGAGATCTCAAGGGACAGCTTTATCAAAACTACTTACTAGAAAGACAACTAACTTATAGTAAGCAGGTTCATATTAAGTCAGTAATTTTAAGGATGGAATGGGCAGAAGGTAACTGGATGGAGTTATTTAGAAATGACGTAGGGTTTCTGTTACAGCTATAATCTGTGAAAGCCTTTTTTTATCAGCAATTTTTATCAAAAGACAATATCCAAGACTGAGTGTCAGCATAGCATTTTCCTGCAGGGTTTGTCAGGGCTGCTCAATGGATCATAAAGAGAAAATATTACCCGTTCACAAGTCTGAGCTACTGTCCACATGCCAGTAATAGACATTTTCTTGCTTTGATGTTCATTATCAAGTCAAGTTATATGTAGACACAGGCAAATATTTGATGTCATTTAACTGCTCTGGTCACTGTTTTTGAAGAACACAGGTTTGTGCAACTCCCATTCATATTCCATCACAAAGATGCTGGTGCAGAAAACTGGTGCTCTTGCTGGTTTGTTGCAGATCCTGTGTGGTGGCAGGCAGGCATTGAGACAGCTCAGGCATTTGGTCATGTAGAGACCAGACTCTAACATGGTTATCATGTGATAGCAGCAGTACTAAACTACTCCTGTTGGCTCTTCAGTGATTGCAGAGAAATTGAATTTCACTGATATTTATTCCCTTGTTTTCCTGAATATTTTTCTAAATAAAAATATCCCTGTGTTTTAACTTCAAGGAAAAGGCAAGGATTTTCCAGTCCTTTTTAAATGACAGCAGTAGCACTCTTCATCTTTCCTAACACTGACTTACTTCTGGTCAGCAGCCATTATTTGCATTTTGCACTGCACAGCTTTAACAAACAACTAAAGCTAATGAGGTCAAAAGACACTGTAGTTTGCTTTGGCACAACTATTCCATAGCTGCAGCAAAAACTGTCTTAAAGTCTGCCTTGTACCTAGCACCTGTTCGAACTCTGATAGCAGTGACTATTTATGTTCAATATTTACTTTATACTCTTAAATAAAATACTATGAAAAATAAATCAAGATTTATTGGTAAAACACATGAAAATGTTAATTTTTGGTAAAATCTCCAGATTTCTTATGTGGATAATACAGCTGCAATTAGAACTCACTTGCTAAAATAGGTCAACTTGGATTTTGAGTTGTCTTGGTTCTAGAAGACAGGTGTCTGCTAGGGAGAGCAGGAGCCTCCCTTGGGATGAAAGAATGTAGACCCCCTCCCTCCAAATTATTATAAATTTGAAATCAAGGGGCTTTCAGGCAGAGATCTGGGGATAGGAATAACAGTTCTTTACTAGTATAACCAGGCAAACAAACAAACAATAACTACAGCAATAACAAGAACACAGAACCAGGGACCCCGGGACAGCTCTCTCAGCTGAGATGGGATGGAGGAGAGGTTTTGTTTTCACAAACCCCTCGGGCAGTCAGTCCCGGTGCTCCTGCAGGGCTCCGAGGAACAGTCGGCTGGAAACAGCAGGGACGAGCAGAGATCCTGGGCCGGTGGCTGAGGTGTATCAGCAGCTCCGCGGCGGTGCCTGGCACTGCCACACGTCCCGGCAGGACAGGGGGTGCGAGGCCACCAGCAAAGAGGGGAGAAGGAGAAGAAGCAGCAGCTCCCTCTGGGTGATGGCGAAAATCCCTTCTCCCCACCGCAGCAGCTCCGCGACCCAGCACACGAACGTCCTTCCCCGAAGCCAAAGAAAAACAGCCCAAAAACTGTCCCCACCCTCCTTTCCTGCCCCCTTCCCCCCCTCCCTGGGCCCGGCTACTCTTTGTCCGTTGTCAATCACCCCTAAGTACCGGTAGTTAGGTTGTCCCAGCACATAATGGGTAAATATTTCCCGGGCAGGCCAGAAGGACAAAACAAAACAAAAAAAAAAAAGACATCTAACCCTCAACATGAGTCTATTCTCTTTTTCACTCAGTAAATTGTTTTTTCAATTGCCAGTGAGGGATATGTTTTAAACCCAGCTGGAAGTTAGACTTCATGCAACTGCTCCTTGTCCTCCAGTCCCTCACCCACACACTAGTGAGAGAGAGAGAAAGAGAGAGAGACAGGGAGAAAAGGCAGAATTACAGGTTGAGGTAACAATTTTCTGGAAACAACAATGAGATAAGAAAATGAAAAGTAACAGCAACAATACATACTAATGACAACATACAAAAGAGGATGATTATGCAAAAAATGCTCGTGGAGTCTAACTGAGCAGACCCAGTGTCATGCAGCTTTCTGAGA